TGTGTGTGTGTGTGTGTGTGTGTGTGTGTGTGTGCAGCCTGCTCTGCTGCAGTGTGTTGGTCATGTGATCAGGATAACTATCACAAGGCACTAACCTTCCTTCACACGCCCCTCCTCCTTCCTTCCCCTGTCTATCATTTATCCTCTCTCTCTTCTCCCAATTTAATTTTCTTTTTGCCTTTCAATCGTTTTTTTTCTCCCACTCTTCTTTTCCCTCCCTTTTTCCTGCTTCTGTTTCTCATCTCCTAATCCCTTTTCCTTGTCCTCCTCCGAGTCGCTCCTCACCACCTCTAGTCTTATCTCCCTTTTCCATTTTTATTGCTTTTATGCTCTCAACCTTACCTTCCCCTCTTCCTTCAATACCCTCCTCCCCACTCTCTCTCCTGACCATTAATCTTTTCTTTCTTTAACTCCCCTCCACCACATTCTCTCTCAACTTTCCCCTCCCTTCCTTCCAATTGGCAATTGTCTCAAACTGTTCTTTCCTCCTCTCATTTGTACCTCTCTTATTTTGCCTGCAGTCCTCAACCTTGATATTTCTCTTTTCATTTCTGTTTTTCACACAGATTCCAAGCAAAATGGTGAGACAGCGGCCAACACAGCAGCCTTGGCCAATGAGGACTGCCCCACCATTGACCAGGTGCTTGGGGACGAGCGCAGCCCTGCCACCGGGGGCCTTGGCTCCACCACTAGTCGTGAGCGCTACCCACATGACCGGGCCTGCTTCCTGCTGAGCGCGGGGGAATTCCAGCGCACAACGGATGGGAACGTTCGGAAAGGTAGGAGGGCGGAGTGGGGGAGGTGGAGGATTGAGGGTGGAGGAGGAGGATCAGGAGGAGGAAGAGGAGGAGGAGGAGGGGTGGAGGGAGGGCAGTACTTTAGTGACAGCAGTGGGCTGTCTCTCAATGCGTCGTCTTGATTGATATAAACTCATAGTGTATGTAGCGAGTAAAAATATATCCATATTGTACATATATATGTTCTGAACACACATGTCCTAATACAGACATGTACAAATACATGGGCTGGACAAAAATTACTGAAGCCCCATGATTAAAAAAAATCCATTTCTCTGGTGTCAATGATGTCAATACCCCTCAGCACCTATCTGTCACACACACACAAACTGATGCAAAAAAAGCTGATGCAAAAGCACACACACAAACCATACAGATTACGTAAAATATATAATGTAGAAATGTATTTCAATATTAAAGGACTCAAGAAGCACTAATTCTTTGTGCTGAGGAAAAACTCACTCCCCTCAGACCTCTCTGCTGTCGCACTAACACTATATCAAAGTGCACAGAGTGACATTGATATTTAAGGCTCAGTCACACCTTCAAACTACAGCTGTAGTCGAATAATTCCCCTTCATGCATTATCCTGCATCTGTACTGCAGAGGTACTGCAGAGGTTGCTGCAGCACTACCATCTGCACTGATATGCAAGTGACTGGATTCGCTGTAGTGCAACACCAACGTATTAATGACAGATTTTTGTCTTTGATTTTGTGAACTGTGGTCATATTGGGATTCTGCACTGAGGTGGATCAACAGTCACATGCAAAGATAACACCGGTCTCCTGTGTACGCTGTATCCTGTGTTCATCACAGCTGATACAGTTCTTTGTGTTAAACCTCATACAGCTGAATCGGTTTCATTTCAAAACACTGCCAATTAATGGGATTATTATGTTAGCTGTATTTTCATACACAGAGGCATCAGGAGTTATTCTTATTTTTTTAACTGTCTATAAATCCCCCTAAAAAGACAAAAGAAGACAAGTATCAGCACCACAAATCCTTGTAGGTAGGAGGTTGGGGTAAATGGATGAATTAACAAACAAAACTATGTAAAAGCATCTATAATAATCATAATAATGGAAAAAAAAACACAATTCTGCTTCATTGCCAAATTTAATGTCTTCATCATAAATCTTGTTACTTAAATGCTTTTGCTGCAACTTGTGCAGTAACTTCTTCATACCCACCATCTGGTGCAAATATTTCCTCTCAAAAATGTAGTTGCTCTCCATCTAGACTGGAACGCTTACCTTGAGACACATAAATACCCAGGGCGTTAAGGGTGCTGATATCCATCATGGCAGCAGCATTCATAGAATCATTTCCTCTTTCGCAAATTGTCTACAAAAAGTACAACATTCTGTTTGATGCTGCTAAGCTTTATATCGAGCTGAATCACAGAGCTTTTACTTTGAAAAGTTGTAAACTCGTGTTGATTACTTCACAGACCTTGAAATAGCCATCATGCAATAAATATATGAAATAATAACAGCACTTATGTAAATCATTCAAACTTATATATAACTCATGTAAATAGTAATAAAGCAAATTAAGGTTTATTTTCTGAAATACATTCACTAAAGAAATAGTGCAAAAAATATTCCAGTTTATTATTGAGAAACTACGACTTTATTGCAGATAAACCAAGTCGTTTTTTGACCCCACTCTGCACCATAGACTGTTTATAAAAAGCTCTTCACGCAGCGTCCAGCACGCAAGTAACAGTATATTGTAGAATGCATATCTCGAGAACCATTTATTCTTTGGGCTTCACACTCGCATGTATTTTTTGTGAGGGCCCAAGGAAGCACAGTGTGAAATATAATGCGATTTCGACATGTGATATGTTCAATATCAATTAAGTTTGAGTCCGTCAAGTCTCTTCTTTTTCTAGTTATCTTTAAATCTAGAGGGGAAAACAAGTTGACCTGGGAAGTTGACTTCTTATCTTGCGCAAATGTACAGATCTATTGTAGGACACTACAGTTTTAATAAACATTAATGAAATAGTATAGAGAAGGTACTGTCTGTGTGTGTCTTTACACCAATCATCAACTTTTGGAGATGCTCTTCGAAGTAATATTACCACAAAGTTTGGTGAAAATCCATCCTTTTTTGAGTGGTTTTGTACAAACACACACACAGACGGGTCGAAGACAATAATAACAATAATAATGATGCTCTTTTAATGGGATTTGATTGGCTGACAGTAAGAAAGATACAAAATATCCCTAGCCTCATTGTTTAAAATGCTAACATCATGCAATATTCAATTTCACAAATATTTCAGTCTGTTTCTGAAATGAAACCCTTCATGTGTAAATCTTAAGTTGTTTGAATGTAGTCTGGTGGAACAGATGGATCAGATGAATGTCTGTCTGTTCTCAGGCATCACCTCAGGCTTCTTCATCGTCATTGTCTGCCGTCTCTTCCTCACTGTCACTCTGTTTATTTCACTGCAGTTTATTTTTCTGACATGATTCTTTAACTGTTTCTTCTTTCTCTCTCTCTCCTCCTTGCACCACACTGTCATCTCTGCGCCCATGTTTACTGTTCACACACCTCTTCCACTTGCTCCTTACATTTTTCCGTTCTTCCTATTCTCATTCCCTCCTGCTTCATCTGCATCGCTCGCCAAATCTTTTCCCCTAAATTTTCATCCAATCTTTTCGTCCATTTTCCCGCTGCCATCTTGTCTCTTGCCAACCCCAAATGCTGATACTAAAAAATAATTATCTTCGTTTTGAAATATAACCCCTGACCTTTCACCTGTAACACTCCTCTATGCTACTGTATTTTCCCGTAATCTACACGAACAAACACTCTCCAAAGCACACACCCATACACACACAGACGTCTCAGAGTCCAGCAGTGTGACATCCTTCCTGGGAGAGGACTGGTTCAAGCCGGAGGGGCCTCTGCTTTAGCATCCCACCTCCTCATGGATCAAACCGTAGAAACACAGAGGTAACACTTTCGAGAACAAACAAAAATAATTAGAGGAAGCTGGACTAGATTCAGTCAGACTATATTGGACTAGACTTCACAAAACTTTTTATTCGATTAGATTCATTCAGAATTTAATTGATAGGAGTAAATTAGAGAAGATTCCATTGGACTACAGTGGACTAAATTCAGTTAGACAAAGTTAAACTTGATTAGACTAGACTAGATTAAACTAGATTACATTAGATTATTGCATGTTTGCTTAAAGTCCAGTAAAGTGCAGTGTATTACAGTAGATAGATACATGTACACTTTTTCTACTTCATAGGAAAAATAACATGAAGTTGAGAAACGCTCCCCCCCCAGCAACAACATCAAGATCAGAAAAAACAACATAATGCCTCAAAACTCACAACAACACTTGCATCTTATACAAACACACACAGACATGTGGTGAAATGTACAGTATAAAGGTACATGCAGGTTGCTTGTCATAGTAAATATTTTAGATGTGGTTCAGCATCATACTGTGAATAACAGTGGTGCATAGGGGTGGTGGTGGGGTAGCTTATGTGTGTGTGTGCGTGTGTTTTGCCCATACAGTTAAAAAATCTTTATATTATATAAACTATACTATACTAGTTATTACTATATATAGAATATTTTGTATTGCTTATTGTTGTCAGTAGTGTTGATTAGTTACTGATTACTATCATTAGCTACTTGCTGTACTGCTTCATCTCATCACAGCTCATCTGAATGTAGAATAAAGCTCAGTAGCATTTGCTGTCCTATATCCTACAACACTTCCCCTTGTACAAATAGTATTATATACATATCTATGCAAACACACAGACACACACGTGCAGATATTCTTGCACTTTTATCTTAGTGATGACACTCATTGGCATAATGCATTCCCTAGCCCCTTACCCTAACCTTAACTATCAAAACTAAATGCCTAATCCTAATTCTAACCCGCCCTTAAACCAAGTGTTAACCCTCTAACAGTCCAATGAACAAATGAGGACCGGTCAAATTGTCCTCACTTTCCCAAAATGTCCTCACTCTGTATGGTCTATGCTCAGAATGGTTGAGGCAAAGTTTTAAGTACATTTTAAATTTCATCTTAATGTCTGTATTTTTCAGTATTTATGGTGATTTTCTAGTCCACTCAAAAAGCTTTACAGTTTTGCCATTCACCCATTTACACAAACATTTCACACGGATGCATCTCTCTGCTCCACTTTATAGTTCTGCCCATACCAGCAACTGGACACAAAACTGCTATTCACATATAAATGTATTCAAAATTGTGGCACATTAAAATACTGTACACGGAGTACAAGCACATACTTTAGAGGGTACAGGGGTATTGAGATATATATTATATGTAAAACTAAAATCACACAGACACACATTAGAGGTTGGATTGAAGTTTTATCCTATTTGTCTGCGTGAGCTCTCACTGCTCATGACCAGAGTCTTCAGGTGGGGAGACATACACAGCTGAAGCAGAGACAATAGCCTGAGGTCAGTGAACGAGTCACAGAAAAGTCGGCTCCTAGCAGTTGTCAGTGTGTGTTCATGTGTTTTAGCCTCAACAAGAGGGCTGATGGGAGGGAGTGAGACGTATGGGTGGCATATGTGTACCCTGCTCTTAAAATCTTTTCCAGACTTACCAACCTTAGTTTCAAGTAGCACCATAGAGGTTTTGTTTGATCAAATCAATCATACTTGAGCCTGTAGAAAATATTATATTAAAATATTATATCATATAATGAAATAATGATCTAAAATAATATAGTTACCGACGGTCAAAACAGTGCTAGTGGACCTACTCTAAACGAGAAAGCCACTTCCTGCAAAAGGAATCACACACACAAAGACACACGCACACACAACCTAGCAGCACATAATTGAACACTGTGTGACTGCGAGCTTGACTGTGTCTAAATGCATGCCTGTGTACTGTTCATTAGTCTGTTCATGTGTGACAGAGATATGCCTCTTTCACACCTACAGTA